GTGCCACGCCAGCCTGTACACGACACATATCTCTCACTTATCTCCAAAGACAACATTGTTGGAATTGGAAACACGTCACAACCATAGACTTTCAAATATATAGAGGTGGCATAGTTGACTTTGCTATTCAAACAATTTGTTGATGTCCACAAAATCAAATGTCAGTATAATTAATCATATTTAAGCTTATCATAATTTTGTAAAATGTTTCATTACAAGTACTTTAATACAAAGACAAAAGGTGGCATTAAGTTTGACTGATGAAACTGATATAGTACCTTTCAGGGAATGTACTGTTTAAAAAAATTGTTCACTGTCTCGTCTATATAATATTTAAATGTCTTTGGTCACTACTAACTATAGCATGTAAGTGAATTGAATCTCGTACCAAACTTGATCTTTGAGTTGTGTGTTAAAGATATACACACACATTTAAATTGTGTGTGTAAGTGAGACTCGTTTAAATAGTGCATGTGAAAGAGAGATACGTTAAAATAGTGTGAAAGAGAGGCACGTCAGTTATGTGTGTGTGAGTACCTGGGCGCGAGCGCGGCGACGGTGGTGAGCAGCATGAGCAGCCAGTACATGGGGTCGGCGAGGGCGTGGTGCATGACGCGGTAGGTGGAGGGCAGGTTGAAGCAGGACACGCACACGGACTGGTACATCAGCGTCAGCACGAAGAACGATATCAGCGAGCCGGACAGCGCCACCACGTGGATCACCGTCTGACAACACATACCATTACTCATCATCAACTTTCTCCTTATCCTACACCCATACGCAACAGGTTTTTGTCCTCGACCAAACTCTATCATATGTCATCTCAGTCATCGCTCCCTTTTTGCTCATGTCACCTTTCATGCAATCCATCCATCTCTTCTCGTTCACATATCATTACTATCTTACTAATATAAATGCAAAAGTTTAGATGGATGGATGTTTGTAAGAGGTTGTAAAGTAAACTGCTGAACGGATCTCCATGATGTAGAGCATAGTCTGGAAGAACACATGGGCTATTTATGTTTGTTTGAAAGCTAGTACCTTAAAGTTAACATAGTTATGATATAAAAATACGGATATCTTTATTAATATCCGTGATTTTATATCAGTGGGCTAAAATAGTGCTTCCAATCAGTGTAGTTTTGTAGATTCAAAAAAAATTATATTGAATCTATATATTTAGTACCTGTGCTCACACTGTGCTGTACACACACTGAAACACTACCACTTACAAGTTTCATATCGAATTGCTGCATGTAATACAATACGAAATGTATTGGAGGACTTTAAAAAAAACATAATTTTAGATAAAATAGCTCTTAAGCAGGTCTAAGTGCATAGTAGTTTTAGACAATAATTGAATTGTTACAACGTAATAATCCTCACCAAAATACAATCTATACTAATATTTTAAAGAGGAAAGTTTGTATTTTTGGATTTTTTATGTATTGAAATAAGTCAAAAACTACTAGGCTGATTTCAAAAAATCTTGTACCATTAAAAAGATACGTTATCAGTGAGTGAATAATAATTTGGCGAACAGCAGAGTGACATTGACAGGTGTATGAGCAGGAGAGCAACGCACCCAGCTGCGGGTCTCGATGGCGACGTAGACGAGCATGACGAGCAGGCAGCAGGTCATGTTGGCGAGGCCGAAGAGC